GAAATAGGTCTGCAGGGTTTTCTTGGTGATACTTTCGTCTGATTTTGGAGTCAGGATAACACTGGCTTCACAAATGAGTTTGAAGTGTGTTGATTCTGTTTTGGGGGAGATTTTGTGAAGAATCACTGTTAAACCTTAACTGTATGCTTTGGAGCATTCTGCTGTGAAATCCTCTGGGCCTGGGCTTTGCCTTATAGGTAGCTTTGGTTACTAATTCAACCACTTCACTACTTATAGTTCTAATCAGATTTTCTGTTTCTTCTTAAGTCACTTTTGGTAGTTTGTGTATTTCTAGGAATTTGCCTGTTTCATCTAAGTTATCTAATTTGTTTCCATGCAACTGTTCAATGAATTTCTTTATAATTCTTTTTATTTCTATAATCTCAGTAATAATATCCCCTCTCTCATTCTGATTCTCAGAATTTGAGTTGACTCTTTTTCTTTAGGTCAATCTAGCTAAATTGTCTGTTAGCTCTCTATTGTTAATCTCATTGATCTTTTCATAGAACCCACTTTTGGTTTCATTGATTTTCTTTATGGGTTTTCTATTCTCTCTTTTCTTAATTTATGCTCTAATTTTTATTATTTCCTTTTCTCCTTACTTTTGGTTTGGTTTCTCATCATTTTGAATGTGTTAGGTAAAAAGTAAAGTTATTTATCTGAGATCTTTCTTCTTTGCTAGATTATGCAGGTTGCTGTGTGTAGAGAGACCTGCATCTTTGACTTCAGGAGTCTTCCATGCAGCAAAGTTGATTATATATCCATGGAGGTGATGCCTCTGTCACCTCACCAGGAAACGCTCAGACTTGTCTGCTTATAGGTATCACATACGGCATTAGCCCTAAACCTCCAAATTTATTGTATATCTTGCAGGACATGTGATTTTAATTGAATAATATGTCTTATTATGTGTAATGTATGTATTTAAACAATAATCAGAGAATTGACCTCTTATCAATTGTAGTAATTTCCCAGCTATTTTATATTTAGCTTATCAAATAAACAATGCTCTCATCTCTAATAACAATATTGCTTCTTCCGTCTTATTCATCAGATGGAACATTGTGTTTCCTGACATGAAGCTATAGATGAAAGCAACAACAAATACTTGAGGTGAAAAGAAGCATCTTTGATTGTTGTTTGAATTGGTTCTTCCTTTCAGTGGGATGCCTCTCACACAGCAGTCCCTCTCCATGCTCTGCTCTGAAACATCTTCTGTGAGTACTAGGCTGGCCTGGCAGTCACTGTGCCTGAGAGTGACCACAGCATTTTAGCACCGAAAAGTGACTCAGAATACTGTGGCAGCCTCTGCAGATTTCAACTAAAGGCAAGGGCAATCTATTCCATAGTGGGGATTTTAATAAGGCCTGTGGGGAAGAACAAAGTTGTATCTGATTCTAACAGAGTGTCCATCCTAGTTAATGAACCATTATTCCTAATTTCATAATAAGAGGTGGAGTGTGCTCAGTAGAAAAGCTTGGTCTGTGTCATGCAGCCTGGTGATGAATCTGAGCATCCTCCTGTGTAAAGTCACAGCCGTCACTCAGCTCCCCTAAGTCTCAGTTTCCTCTCTTATCAAATAGGATCATACTAGTGCTTCCCCGTTAGAAGTCTGCGCAGATGAAAAGGAATGAGCCAGCCCACCTATGGTGCTGTGTGCAGTGCCTCACACTTAGTAAGCCTCCCTAAAGTGCCTTTATTATTAGTGTCAGCGTTCCTGTTACTATTCTCACTGTCATTATCATCATCATCTTTATAACGACTTAGAAAGCAGAATTCTCTCAGTGGAATCTACATTTTACACTGCAGATGATGCAATGCTCCTTGACACATAAAGTTGCAACTGGCCTGTAAGATCACTGGGAACTACTGAATTTAATAAACTTATGTGGTGACTATTTTGATTTCCTCTATGGGTGCTTATGTTCCCATACTTTGAAATCTTCACTAAATAAATGCTGTGATAATTAGTTTTTGCTAACTCATGCCTTCCCCACTAGATAGAATAATTTGGTTGATCCTTCCTCGCACCACTACCTAGAACACCATGTCATGCATAGTTCAGTCAGAACATGAAGAAAAAATAGTTTTAAAAGTATAAACATTTATCTTGATGTTGTGCCATTCAGAGGTACTTCATTCTTCCCAGCACAAGGAGAATCAATTGCTCTCTTATTTTCATTCAGAACCAAGAGCATGTTGGTTCACAACCTCGAGAGTTTGGGTGACATCTGAAACTGGCTCCTGTCCCTGGAGGGCAAGGAGAGACTGAAGAAAGAAGCAGATCACTCCAGATTGGGAGGTGGCAGTTTTAATAAGCGAAGGAACTAATATATGAGGCTTGTCTTGGGTGGTACAAGATGAGCAGATTTATTCACCCACCTGCTAGAATCTTAAAAGTTTATATAGATGCTTTAATGGGGTTCAGTAATGTGTACAGACCAGAGGGTCTCAACAACACATTATTCTCTCCAGGCTGCACCCTTGAAATTGCTCTTAGTTTGGGAACATTGGGTGAAAGGTATATTCCAAGGACAGGGGACTGGGTAAGGAGGCTCCAATTGTCCAAGGTAGGCTGGAGGGTCAACCAGTGGTCACATCCTCTCTGTGACCTCCTCCAACAAAGCAGCTTCTTGAATCTTCGGTAACTCATTCCATTAGGGCCATTTTTCGATGTCATGGAAAAAAATCTCTCTCTCCATACCTACAAGTAACTCCCTGTACTTCTTAAATGGAGCTCTTCTTTGGCTTAGAAGACCACTTTGTGGGATATTCTTGAGTTCTCATGGGCTTCCTTCAGTGCAGCTGGATACACCAGCACTCTGAGTATATTCTGGCCCACATGTTTCCTATGATTGAGATAAACAGGAACCATATACTCTTACTAAACACAACCTTAAGATATCATGTCTATGGTGCTGACCACAGAGCGCCATGATGTGACCTCAAGACAGAGTCAGACTGTCCCTAATATTACCCATGAGAAGCAGAACAATTTATCCATTCGTCAGTGCAGGAAGCACATCCCCAGTTTCTGTCCAGATGAGGCCACTACTGGAACTGTACAATGCCCACAGGTGCAAATGAAAGTAGGGTTGGGAAGGGCATTGACGAAATGTAATTTTCTCAGCAACATGTTTCTGAGAGTGTGTGAGAGCGGAGCCGGACTTATGCATCTTCCCAAGGTGAGTGCATATCATTAGTATGGCGTGTCCTTTATTTGCAGTATATGAGGAGTTAGGATATAAAATTAAAAAAACAGAGGCATTCCTGACTTAGCAAATCAGAGTGATTTCCAAGAAAACTGCTTCTAGACTGTTATTTTCCAGATAGGTCTTAATGGGAAGACAAAAAACAGATAACAAAATGGAAATATCTTCTCCATCTCTCAATGCTTGATGCTGAATACTCGCAGGACTTTTCTTCCTACACTGGATGGTGACTGATAGATGATGCTACTGCCCAGCAGTGTTCCCCCTTGTATAATGAGCACTGGCTGCAAACTGGGCCCTTCTTTTCTGTTTTCATTGAGATCACTTATGGTTCTTTGGCTCTGCCCCTCAGTGTCCATCTGTCAGATAGCCTCCAGGTATCCTTCTGTCTCTGGGCATGGTGGAGATATTGCTGAAGTTCAGGTGGACTTGGGTGGGGCATTTTGACTCAAATGATATCAAAGATGAGCATTTCCTTAGGAATTGGGAGAGGAAGTTGTCAGAAGTGGTATCTTGGCAGACCTCTATGGAGAGGATGCCTGTCACGGAGTGATTCCAACACTGTCAGAATAAATGTTATTCTCTAGTATCACAGACTCACCAATCAGTGAGATGATTATTTAGATGAAATCAGTTTTCTGATAAGTCTCATTACAGTTGGATTAAATAGTGTAACAACAAGTAAGGGTCATCTGTGTGGGTCATGACCACAGACAGTGATTTCACCACCAGTGAGAGAGAGTCCGTGCTTGTATTTTCCATGGGATACAAATATTTTCACGTCAAAAACATTTTCTAAAATTAAGCAGTCTGAATACTCAGAAGTCACTTTTCTTCTGAAATGATGGCTTGTTTTTGTTCCCAACACTCTTGTGCTGAATCTGATTGAACTGTTGGAAGATTGCCCACCTAAAGCATCCCTGATGTGGTAACTGAACTCAATAGGTTTACGTCGGTGATTGTGGAGCCAAAAAGCACAACCAAGGCAGAATAGGTGAAGAAAGGTTTATCAGCTGCACAAGCAATGGAGAACACCAGGGATATCTTCCAAAGCAATGTCTCCTCAAACAAGGGTTTGGGGTGTGTGTGTGGGCGGAAGTCCTTTAATTGTTAGATCATAGTACAATTCATGAGTATGTAGTTAAGGAACAAGTGGGAGATAATGGTTTATTGCCTGCCAGTCATGTTCCTTTAAGGCTCACGGGTAGCATGTACACATGCTACTACATACATCACATGATCTAGAATTGACTGCTTGGTCCCTCCCAGAAGAGGAGAATTTAAAATATTAATGAGATTTTAAGAGGCACCATTCACTTTAGTTCACTTAATGGCTTGAGGCAGATAGAACTGGCTTCAAGCCAGGCTGCTTGCAGGAACCTTCCGTGGTTAGGCTATTCTGGTAACTTTACCTCTGCAAACACTCAACAGATAGTGTTAGTTTTTATCAGATCCTCAGTATCTCCTTCTTTGACTCTTTCCTAGTCAGAGTATCTGTGCCTGTGTACCTATCTGGCAAAACTATCTCAGACTCACGTTGTCAACAAAGATCCAAATGGATAGAGACTAATTATTGCATATGGTGAGGTGAGTTTCAGTTTGCGTGTGTAAAGAAGGATCACAGTTCCGGAAGTCTCCTCCCAGCACTACCTTTCAATGTACACATCCCTGCTGAGGAGGAGTTCTGACTGGCATTCTGCTCAGACACTTAAACTCAGGGGCTGTCAGTCAGGCGAAGGGGGCGTTTCTTGCGAACTGTCCAATCAGAGGCGGCTGCTGGGCAGGTGGGTGGGGCGAAGCGCCCCAACCCCCGGAAGTTGCTGCTGCTCTAGCCGCGCTGGGGCGGCGTTTGCCAGCCGTTACAGGCTTCACGTGGCTCTGCCGCCTGTTCTGTGAGCTGTCACCTGTACCGAGCTCGGGAGTCACAGGAACGTCGTCGCCAGCGGACCCAAGAAATCTAGAAATGGTGAGATTTGGGGCCCGGAGTCAGGATTTGGGGGAAGAGTGTCTGGCCCAACGTGGCCTCCCCTTCTCGCTCCTGCCCTGCTCGGGGTCGGTTGCCACTTGCTCCTAACGTTCCCTGGTAGCTCTGCCACAGCCCCTGTCACCCTGTGACGTGCAGTGGCCGTGGGGGTCGTAGGAAGGACTCAGGGGACCCAGGAGCCCTGGAAATGGTGAGTGGCCCTGGGTGAGGACGCGGGAGGAGGGGCTGGTGGGAAGCGGCGGGGCGGGCCCGGCCTCCAGCGGTCCCCTCCGGGGTCTGCGGCCCCGAGTCCGCGGTGGCGCCTCTCGGCTCTCAGGCCCCTCCGGCCGCAGCGTGGGGGCGAGGCCGGCAGCCGGGCCCCGGGCGACCTGTGGTCCCTGCACGCGGCGACTTGGGCCGGAGCGTCTCTGGGCAGCTGTGCGCTCGCAGCCCTGCGTGTCCCAGACGGTGCGGGGCCCGCCGGAGGGCCCGCAGGACAGTCGGGCCTCGGTCTGCGGGGTCCGTGCGCGGAGGGGCTGCGGTCTGTGGGGTTGCCAGTGCTTCCTGTCTCCCTGGAGGGCACCCATTTGCCTCTGAATTTTCCGTACATTGGTGGAACAGGTTCTCAAATCTACAACCCTGTCCCCGAGTCTAGGTCTTTCCAGGGCTGGCAACAAATGCGTAAATGTCCAGTCTCTCCTTCATTCACAAATGCCAACTTCGTGCGTCCGATTCACAGCATTGTTATCAACTGTTTGTTCTTGGTGAATTTGAAGCAGATCCAATATTTTAATTGTTTATCATTTTCTCACAGTAAAAGAATGGCTGTTTTTAAGAGATTTATTTTGTGTGTGTGGATAATTTGCAGGGGTAAATTATAACCTCCTGGGACTACGTTCTATGAAATCCTCGTGCCTCTCCCCCGGGGTCTTTCCTTGGCAGAGACACCCCATGGAATGTGCTTTGGGTGGATGTTTCCAGGATGGTCTGTCCTGTCAGCACTGTCCTTACCTGAATTGTCACCTATAAAAGATTTGTTCACTTTATTTTAGTCTCAGTTTTTCAATGAATAAAAATTTATTTATTCAATATGACTTGAAATACAATATAAAATATTTCCAGAGACAAGAAAGAGGTGAATTTCAAAAAAAAAAAAAAAAAAAGTATTCCAGTTTTACATCGCATGGATGAAATTCTTTCCCTTTTTTTCTCTCCCATTGTGTGTACTCATATTCTGAGGTCTGTTCTTTCATTTTGGGTGAGTTTAAATGAATTTCTGGACCTGAAGTCCTCAAGTATGATTAACAGTTTATAAAAAAATTACTTGTCATGGAAATAGGTTATATTAACATATTTTCCTTTCCAGAATGCCATACATTCATGTGGGGTTTCTAGTTGAACTGGCAAAGTTCCATGCAATTTTTTTCCCTCGTTTCCACATAAAGACTAGCTTGAGTGTTTTAGCTGGATTGTTCATACACTGGGTTTGTGTCATTTAAAACATCATTGCTGGTCCAAAAAAACTCCAGTGGGGCTGGAGTACTGAGGGCAGAGAGTCTAAGCTGAGGCCCCCTTGGGCCTGCAGAGGGAAGGACTTGAGAGCCCAGTTGTTCTTCCTGGGGAGCCTCCCCCTGCAGGTCTCCTACTGCTCACACCCCCATGGAAGGAGCCTTTGTCCTGAGAGGAGCTGCAGAGCCCTGGAAAGCTGGGGGTGCACGTGCTCATGGGTTGGGGAGTGACGCCCTTTCTGAGGTTGTAGCTGTGGATTCCGTGGCCCTCTTTCTAGGTGTAAGTTGGAGTTTTGCATCCACAGTGAAGGTGCACTCAGAGTGTAACTTGTTCACAGTGTAACTCAACTTTGAAAGTCATAGTTCTGTGTCCTGGGTTAGGGCCCATTAACCTGGGGGTCCATTTGGGTCAGAACCTTAAACTGAATCCGGCTGAGAGTTTCCTCACTGTGAGAAGGGAGCCTGAGAGAGGGAGCATGTGCACTGTTCCCTGGGGAGAGGAGGGTGTGTGGGACTCCCAGAGCTCCTTCCTGTGGCTGCTCAGGTGCCCTCCCCTCCTTCTCCAGGGACTGACCCCCTCCCGGGCTCTATCTCCATCAGGAGAGTCAGGAACATGGGACCTTCTGACTGTGGCTTTCCTTCTGTTCTGTGGGAAACAGGCTGCTCATCCAAGCTGATTCCAGTGTTTGTGTTTCTTCCCTTTAGATTCCTTCATCAATGGACTAGTGCAGCCCTTTGGCTCTAGTTTCCCTTAGCACTTGGGCCCTGAGACTGTAAGTTGATAGAGAGATGGGATGTGAGGAAAGCAGGAAAATTTTTTCATTTTTTGATTGGTTTTCTTTTGTGCATATCTCTAGAGAACATATTAATTTAAAAGGCTAAAGCAATTAAATTCTATTTCAATCATTGTGAGGAAAACTTCTGAAAGCTTCTGTATGTCTTTGAAAATCCAATACAGTTAAGGATTTAAACTCAAACCCTGAGTGCATTGTAATAAATAATATGCCACTTATTCCTGAAAATACCCCACTGTGAGCTATAGGGGAAGGATAAACTGGGATGCCGCGTGTCCTTTTAGTTAGAAAGAGATTTGAAAAATTTTATTTTGTATGGTTTACACTCCCGTAACTGTTAGTGTTTCAAAGAGTTAAATCCCAGAATAGTTTCCTATGTACAAGAGTTAAAATTACAGAATATAAATGTCTCTGTCTTAAAAATCAATCTGTAAGGCAGCAAAGTCTAACTTGAGAAGGCTCACTGCCAACATATCCTGGTCCCCTCCTGCACTGGTAATCAGTAACATCCAGATACACAGTTTTGATCATTTTTGAGCCCCTGTTAGTGTTTCTTTATATAAATCAGTTGAGAATGCATATTTTTCTTGCCCACTTTGTCCTTGTAATGAGCAGTCAGACTCCACATTTTGGGTGATGGCTCACAGCTTAAGCCCCACCCACCCTCTTCCCCTTGTGTCCCAACCTGGACAAGCTGAGGAGGAAGCCTGGGAGTTCTCTCCTCTCGAGCAGGCAGGAGATTCCCACACCAGCCCCTGCCTGTGTGCAGAGCTCTTGCCCCGGCCCCACCCCCAGGCCCAGTGAAGCCCCAGGCCAGGCTCCATTCCTTGCTTTCTGAGCCCTGTCAGAGCTGCTTGAGAGGCCGGCCCTGCCCTCCCCTCAGACCTCTGTTGTGTGAGTCCTACCCTATGTGTGTTTGTGCCACCCTAGCATCAGTCTCAACTAAGTAATCACCCTTCTACAGTTGGCCATAACAGTTGGTGCCCTGAGCAGGATGTCCAGACGTGACCCCTACCTGTGGGTCTGTCTTCTCTTGCTCTGACTTGCTCCCCTGCTCTGCTGCCTGGTGGCGGCATGCACTGTGGGCGGCTGCTTGCTGTGAAGCCCATGCTGTGAGCTGTGCTGCCCCGTGTTGCGTTGTTGACCCACCAAGCCTCAGTTCTAGGGGCAGCTGACCAGCACTAGCAATTTGAAGATTTGTAGGCATTTGGGAGCAGGACTGTGGGATTGGGACCTCCTTAAATGAGTCTTGGGTCAGTGTTTCTGGTGGGATTTATCTGTGTGTTAGAGTGAAGCTGTGACAGAAGCCGTGTTGGCCTGACATACTCCAGGGATGAGGGTGGTAGGCAGGGATGATACGTTTGCAAGAGGTGGGTCCGTCAAAGGGCCACTGCTGAAAGAGCATTCATTTACAAAGAAAGATAAGACAACATGTAGGTGGTGGGCTGGGTCCACACTCCTAATAGCAGAGGGCTTTGCATGACCCTTCAGTACTTCTGCTGCCCCCGGCTGTACTGCCATGAAGATCCTGACCTTCAGGATTGTAGGGGACAATACCTATGGCACCCCTGTGGCACAGTGTATAAATTCAAACCTGACTTAAGCCCCGGGTTGAAACCCTATAAAGTGAACAGTGTCATGGGTAGGCTCCTAGCCCTGAAGGCACTGTTTTAAGGAAAAAAGTTTATAAATACCAGGGTAGAGAGGAATCCCCTTCCCTGAAGTGTATCCCATGAGGAAGAAAATGATAGAGGAAAGATCAGAAGGAAGGAAACAATACTGAAACAAAGGTCCATAACTTGTCTCAACTGAACGTCTAGAATGTATTGAATAAATTTACATAACAAAACAGATAAAGGTAAACTGCTTGACTTTTGGGCCTCTACAACACAGGGTCTGAATTACTTTTGCTCTCTGATGTAATGCACGAATTCAGAAAACTTCAAGTAGTTAATCAACACTAGGTGTCAAATTAGAGTTATACCTGGGGATCCCTCTAAGTTTAAGGAAGGTGCCCCTGATAATCTTAGCGGTGTTAATGAATGTAATAGAGAGGACAGAACAAATGTTTCATTTTTAGCCATCAGAACGATGGTTTTGACTAAATTCTCTATGGTTATAACACCAGTTGTCCTAAAATATCCCAAAGTGAGCTGGGAAGCTCTGAGCCAATGAGCAGGAATTAAAATTAAGTGAAGCTTTTGTCACTTAGAAATTGGCTTAACAGATTGGGACCCCAACGATATTCCCTCCCAAATCAAGCAGTTAATATGGCCCAAAGTAAATTGTACAGGGTCTTGAAGGATTGAAAATTGTATAGAAAACCTACTTAATGAAGGGGTGATTATTCTCAGTGCTTCTTTTAACAGCCAAATTTGTCCTGTTTTTAAACCTGGAGAGAATGGATGACACCTCAGAGTGGTTTACCAACTTGAGGCAGTGGTTGTACCACACAGACCTCTGTACCCAGTCCCCACAGTATGGAAATTACTGACCACAGCCAACCAGCAATTGATCAATACCCTGCTCTCACAGGTTTGGCTGAGTCTGTTCTGTCCAGTCCTGTGTCCACAGCCTCTCAGCTGCACTTGGCCTTCCCCTCTGAAGAGACATGATGCCCCTTTACTGGGTTGTCCTCATGGATCTTCCACAGCTGTGCTCTCCCACAGCCACTGCAGGTGGGGTCTGAACTGCATCCTGGTTTCTCCAAGAACACAGGTATGACGTTACATTAATGACATCTCCTCTGAAGACATTCAGAACATACAAATGTGAAAAAAAGGAGATTGCAAAAAGTGGATGGGACATTGCCACTCATATGATGTGAGGCCCTGACAACTTTGTTAAATTTCTGGAAATTATTTGATATCTGAGCCCTGCTTCTTCTCTGAGACCATGAAGAAATAGCTGTTATTTCCCTTAGCATCCACAACATCTACTAGGTTCTTTTGTTGTTCCAGAGGTAACGTATTTCCTGTATACAAATTTTATTTGAGCGTATTTGTGCTGTTCCTTGCAAATTTGCCACCTAGAATGGCACCCCCTACCACAAAAGTCTGGAGACTGTCTTCAAATTGTCATACAACCAACACTCCTGTTAGTGCCCTCAGAGACTTCTTCACTACAGAGGCCTCTGACCTTCTGTCATGCCTTCTGGGATACCCATCATGGCCGTAAGTTGCCCATAGCTTCTGATGCAAGAACTAGGCCTAGACCCCACAATATATGCCATTAGAGCTACAGTGACATAAGGCTATCCTGCCAGTAGATGGCCCTGAGCATGGAACCATCTATCCAGCAGTCCATTTTGACTTGTGACCTGGGAACAGCATTCAGAGAGCTCAGCATGGCTACTGAGACCCCCTGGAGACATGATGGAGGCAAACGTGGGCCCTCTGGGATATCCTGCCTGCAGGAGGGGGTGGTCTTCCCTGTCCTCAGTCTCCTACCAGGTACCATGGTATTGAAGGTGGTCGCCTTTCCCAGAGTCCGAAGCTCCCTGGTGACCTCCTTAGAATTCACTGAGTGGAAAGCAACAGGATGTCATAAACTTTTGGCCCAATAGCACCACATTTGTCCATGATGGAGCTCAGGCAGAGTTGTTGCTTTTCATGTCTTAATTGTGACATCCCTGATGAAGGACTGCACCAAGGGTCGTCACACTGACCTTACATCAAGCAGTCGTCTTAGCTCAACCAATCATTGGCTCTACCTGCAGACATTGCAGACTATGAGTGATTCCCTGAGAGTTGCCCCTTTTTGGTAAAAAGAAACTCTGGGAATCTTGGCTCACAGTTACCTACAATAGAAATCAAAGTAACACTTGTCTCTATGCGTACAAAGCCCACATGCAAAGCCCCACGAGGACACTTTATCCGCATGGGAGTTCCAGACAGTACTGATAGTAATGAAGGCACTCATTTCACTTCTCAGAACATACAGTGCTGGGCTCTTACCAATGTAAAAAATAGACCTTTCTCCTCTCTTTTAAGTCTCAGGGCACATGCCTCAGAGCAACTTAATGGCTTGTTGAAATAAGTTCACATTAATGGAATGAAAGATGGTCTGTTTCTGTCATCAGTCGTGAATATTAATGTGCCTTCTTTACCTGTTTTCCTAGTAGACTTTCCTTTTTTTTAGCATCAGTTGTAGGTTTACCTAAAAGTTGACTGTAAAGTACAGAGATTTCCCACATAACCACTCTGACTCCACACAGTTTGCCCTGTATTTTATATCTTGTATCACTGTGGTCCATTTGAAGGGCCAGTTTGATGCACAAAAGCTCATAGTTTACATTAGTGTTGACTGTGTTATGCAATCCCTGGGCTTTGGCTAATGTCAAATGGCATGTCTCCATCATTTCTGTATCATATGGAATATGTGTACTGTCCTAAAAATCTCCTGTGCTCCCCTGTTCACTCCTCCCACCCCTGAATCCCTGGCAACCAGTCACCTTTCAATGTCTTATCTTTGATTTTTTCTCAAGTGTCACATGCTTGGAATCCTACAGTGTGTAGCCTTGTCATATTGGCTTCTTTCACTTAGAATATTATTTTGAAGTTTTCCCATCTTTGGCTTGATAAGGTGGTTTCTATTCCTTACTGAAGAATGTTTTACCCTATGGATGTCCCTGTGATTGTTTATCCTTTCACCTATTGAAATTATTCTTGGTTACATCTAGGTCTTGACAATAATGCGTAAAGCTCCTGTCAACATTCATGTGCAGGGTTTTTTGTGAACATCTGTTTTCAGCTCATTTGGGTAAGTTCAAAGAACGTGATGGCTATATCGTATGGTAAGAGTAGGCTTCGTTATCAGAAACTGCCTTTTTTCCAGAGTAGGCATAACGTTTTCCATTCCCACCAGCGGTGAGTGAGGGTTCCTAGTGCTCTCCATCTTCACCACCTTTCACTGTTCTCAGTGTTTTTAATTCCAGCCATTATCATAAGTGTCTGGTGATATCTCATTCTTCTTTTATTTGTAATTTGCTAGTGATGCATGACTTTGAGCATTTTCATGTGCTTATTTACCATCTGTATATCATTGCTGAGGTGTGTGTTCAGATCTTTTGCCCATTTTTAACTGGGTTGATTGTCTTCTTTTTGTTGAGTTTTAGGAGTTCTTTGGATTGTTTTGGTTACCAGTTCTTTATCAGATAAGTGATTTCCAAAGATTATCTGCCAGTCTATGACTTGTTTTCATCTCGTAACATTGTGTGTCACTGAGCAGAGGTTTTTCGTTTTAATGAAATCAATCTTATTTTTTTCTATCTTGGATTTTGCTTTTGGTGTTGTATCTAAGAATTAACAACAAAACAAAGACCGCATAGGTTTTCAACTATGTTATATTTTAGGTCTATTCTGGTTTTACATTAATACTAAGGTCTATAATTAAATTCTAATTAATTTTGGTGAAATTTATCTAGTCGTGTCTTGATTCTTTTTTATTTTTTGGCCAGTGGATGGCCAGATTTTCTGGCAGTATTTGTTGAAAAGATGTTTTCCCATTGATTTGTTTTAGGTCCTCTGTCAAAGATGAGTTCACTATATCTGTAGGTCTATAGAAAACAATTGACTTGTATATTAGCATTTTATCTTTCATCCTTCCTCTACACTCTTCTTAGTTCAAGGGATTTCTCTGTTATTGGGGATTCTTTGAGATTTTCTCCATAGACAACCTTGTGCCACAAGGATAGTTTGATTTCCTGCCTCCCAATTTATATACCTTTTATTTACTTTTCATGTTTAATTGCATTAGCCTTAGCTAATTTTATAGCAATTCTAATAATTCTAGTACAAGGTTGACTAGGAGTGGTGGGAGGGGACGTCCTTGCCTTCCTCCTGATGTTACTGGAAAGCATCTAGTTCCTTCAGTGTAGTCCACTAACATTAAACAAGAGCCCCGTTGATGTAGAGGGAGGTGTGGGCAGAGGGGAAGCATTCTCCAGTCCGGTGATTGGGTCTCAATGTTTTAGTGAGCCTGTGTATCTGGGCTTGAACTTCTGTGGTACAATAAGAAAGGTATTGGATCTTTGTCTGTTGTTCCTAGAAAAACCTCTTGAAGCCCTTGGAATTACTTGAGCGATAAGGGTGATAGATTTTTTGTTTTAATGAGGCAACTCTTGAACAGCTATTAGATGGCTTCAGGATGGGGGTTGGACACTGGAAACACCAAGCCTTGATTAGAGGCTTGGAATTTCAGCCCCAGCTCCCAGCCCCTGTGGAGAGGAGAGGGGCTGGAGACTGAGTTAATACCAATGGCCAATGATTTAATAAGTTGTGCTCATGTAATGAAACCTCCATCGGAACCCTTACAGACAGAATTCAGAGGGTTTCTGGGTTGGTGAACACACACAGGTGCTGGGAGGGTGGAGTGTCAGAGAGGATGTGGAATCTCTGCAGCCCCCTCCACCCCCCTCACCCATACCACTGCCCTACTTTGCCCTATACATGTCTGCCTTTTGTGTGTTCCTGAGTTGTATCCTTTATAGTAAACCAATAATAGTAATTAAAGCAGTTTGCTGAGATCTCAGAATCATTTCAGTAAATTACCAAATGTAATAAAGTGTGGAGGGAATCTACAAATTTGTTGACAGCTGAGTAGAAATGCTGGCAGCCTGGGCACCCCATTTGTGGTTGGCATCTAAAGAAGGGCAGTCTGTGGGACTGACCTCTTATCCTGTGGAGCCTGATGTGAACTCTGGGTGGTTAGTGTTAGGATTGAATTGACCTGTTGGACACCTCTTTGGTGATGTAGAGCTGGAGAAGTGGCATTGGGACAGGTGCCAAATATTTTGTGTCAGGAGGGGAAAAAAATACTATCATCCTCACATGTACCCCACCTTTGAGAGCAGAGAAGACTAGAAGAGACTCAAGTTGGCTCTTTCCCTCCCCCCAGGTCAGGTAGGCTCTGGAAAATCCCAGTCAGTTATGCTCTTGTGAAATAGATTACTTGTAGGTCATGCCTTGTTAAGAACAGAATATTTGGGGTTTATTTTTCAATGCCTACATTTTCTCTTAATTGTGGAGACAATGGTTTACCCTGTGACCTCAATTCTCTGATGGAAGAGCAGGTATCTTGGCTTTTTCCTTCTGAGGACTGGAATCCAGCTTCTGAGCTCCTTGTATGACAGACCAGGACCAGAAGTCTCTGACTCCTTTTTTACCCCAGTTTTATTGAGGAAAAAATTGACGTACACGACTGTGTAAATTTAAGGTGTCCAACATGATGGTTTGATTTACACATATGGTGAAATGCTTACCACAGTAGGTCAGCTAACGTCCATCTTCTCATATAGACAGAATAAAAAGAGAGGAAAGAAGAAAAGAATAATCTCTTTGTGATGAAAACTCATGGGATTTACTGTCTTAACAGCTTTCCTATATATCACACAGCAGTGTTAGCTATACTCATGTCGTACATTACCTCCATAGTAGTTATTTATCTTATAACTGGAAGTTTGTACCTTTTGATCACCTTCCTCCAATTGCCTCCCCACTCCCACCTCTGGTAATCAACAGACTAATCTCTTTTGTATGAGTTTGATTTGTTTGTGTTTTATTTCAATTCCACACGTAAGTGAGATCATAAAGTATTTGTCTTTCTCTAACTTATTTTACTTAGCATAATGCCTTCAGGTTTCATCTGTGTTTTCAGAAATGGTAGGAATTCGTTTTTTATGGCTGAATAATACTCCATTGTTGGTATATTTATATATA